GATGCAGCTCACTCCAGTTCAGTCCCAGGCACCACAGGGTCCCCTGAGCATAGAGCCAGGAGTAGCCTCTGAGCATTGCTGGATGTGCCCCCATACAAAAAGTTCAACATTATGTTAGTAGTATTAATATTAAGGATGGTCAACATCTAACACAACTACTTAAAGAGTCTTTTTAGTTTTCTTGAATTTTTCCCCCTTAATAGAAAAGGGAGCTTCATGATCTGGGCCAGATGATTTGCTAAAACTCAAACTCTAATAATACATGGCCAATCCTTATAAACCTGCTACTTTTGTAGGTCTAAAATGGTCCAAAATGGGGCTGGAGCGATAGCACAGCGGGTAGGGCGTTTGCCTTGCACTCGGCCAACCCAGGTTCGATTCCCAGCATCCCATTTGATCCCCTGAGCACCACCAGGGATAATTCCTGAGTGCAGAGCCAGGAGTAACCCCTGTGCATCGCCAGGTGCGACCCAAAAAGCAAAAAAAAAAAAAAGGTCCAAAATGAAAGGCTGGGGACAGAACTCAACAGCAGAGCACATGCATGCTTCCAGGGTTTCTGCTCTGGGTCTGATCTGCCACTCCCTAAAACAACAACAAAAGTCAAAACCCAGAAATTTCACATTATTCAATCAAATATACACACAGGGTATATCTACTATTTTCAACATTAAACTCCAAGATAAACTTGGAAGTGAAGGAAAATAGAAACAGGGCAGGGGGGTGCGGGGTGAAACAACTGCATGCTCTCACTAAAATAATAAAGAATTACACAGAAATGGAAAAGTAGAGCAGAGTTGTGGGGTGTTTTGGTTGTTGTCGTTGTGGGGTTTTCTTTTGTGTGTGTGTGTGTGTGTGTGTGTGTGTCTGGAGAGGGAGTGGGCGGGGGGGGGGTGGTGGTAGGAATGGAGTGCTTGGGAGATGTTGGTCTAAGACCAAAGTTGCAGTTATCTGGGATGAATAAGTCAGAGATATATTCTTCATAACACTATTTTTCCAGTGTATAGAGTTCATAGCACTGTACTTTTTCCTTTTCCTTTTTGCACCCAGGGTCATCTATGCGAAAAGCAACTGCTCTACTGCTGAGCCACATCCCCTGGCCCAATTATACTGTGCACCCCCCCCCCTTTCCTTTGGCTGTTGAAGTGGTGACTGTGGGTCACAGATATTCTTGGTCATGGTGCTCTCAAAGAGACAGGGCTCACACACTGCAGGCCATACACTTTGAGTTGTGGTGCTTTTGCACACAGCTGTCTGTATGCCAGAGACTGTATACCCTGCCTGGGGGTCCCAGGTAGATGAGTCTCCAAGATTGTGCTCAGCACTTGAGGGCAGCAGCAGGAAGCAAATTCTCTGCCTCCTGCTTGCAAGGCAGGCACAATTGTGGTGGAGCCATCTCTGGCCCCAGTAACACTGTAGGAATGCTGGAAATTGAGAAAGAGTAGATTTCAGATGCTCTCACCACAAACAGAAAAACAGTGTCTATAAAAGATGACACTTAAATAAGCTGGACTACAGTAATCCTCTACTTTATTTTTTTTCTTAAATTTTTATTAGTGAAACACCATGACGTACAGTTGTAGACTTACAAATTTTTGTGCTTGGGTTTCAGTTATACAATGATCGAATACTCATCCCTCCACCAGTGCCCATTCTCCACCACCACCAGTCCCAGTATCCCTCCCACTCCCCATCCTCCCATCTCACCCTACCTCTGACCTTTTGTTATCTCTCTCCTTTTGAGTGCTGTGGTTTGCAAAGAGACATTGAGTGGCAATCTTGTTCGGTCTATATTCTACTCTCATCACGCATTTTCCATCCTGAGAGAAACCTCCCAACACCCTTTATTTGGTGCTCCCTTCTCTCTCTGAGCTGCATTTTCCCCTAGCATGTGCGGCTGTCCTCAAAGCCATGGAGTAATCCTCCTGGTACTTATCTCAGCTATCCTTGGGTGTTAGTCTCCTATTTTGTTACTTTATGTTCCCCAGATGAATGCAATCTTTCTATGTCTGTCCCTTTCTTTCTGACTCATTTAGCTTAGCATTAAGTAATCCTCTACTTTAGATCAATCATGCATACCTTAAACATAAACAATTTTTATATCAAAATAAGTGAAAACATTTATATACACATAGGGCTGGGACACAACCAGGGGTTAGGCTAGCCTGGGCAAGGGCTTGAGTTTGATCCCTGATAACTCGACCTACTCAGTACCTCTGGGATAACCCTGCTGGCCCCTGCACTGCTGGGTCTAAGCATCATTATGTCGCTGAGCCAACTGGAATGGTTGACCAACCATCCCTGGGAGTATCCTCCAGGACCCCCTACACACTGGTTGAAAGTCCCCCAATCATATAACATATAAGTCAATCTAATCCTTCTTCATTTTTCCTTTTATTGTAATCTAATCCTTTCCATTTTTCCATTTTCTCTAAATGCTATACACATTTTCTCTAAATACTATATGCTATACACCTCAATTGGCATCTTAGAAATGATGGGATAGCAAAAATGGTGGAAGGGTCACAGCATTAGTACAGCAGGAAGGGCATTAACCTTGCACACAGCCAGTCCAGGTTGGGTCTCGTTTTCCCCCAAGCACCACCAGGAGTAATTCCTGAGTACAGAGCAAGAAGTAATCCCTGTGTATCTCGGGGGTGCTCCAAAATGAAAAAAGAAGAAAGGAAAGAAGGAAAGGAGGGAGGGAAGGAGGAAGGAAGGCAGGATGGAAGGAAGGAAAGAAGGAAGAAAGGAAGAAAGGAAGGAGGGAGAGAGGGAGGGAGGAAGGAAGGAAGGAAGGAAGGAAGGAAGGAAGGAAGGAAGGAAGGGGAAAGAGGTATTCATGGATACTTAGAACAAATTGCAGATTCAGAACTTGAACATAATTACAGAAAACATGAAAAGCTGCCCTCCAGAATATTTCAAACCATGTACTTCTGGCCAAATGGTTCCTCTTCATTTTACTAGATGCTAACATTTTGTTTTTCCCCTCTGGCTCAGGGGAAGGAAAAATTTTTTTAAAAGCACTCTTTTAAAGAACTTCTGTATCCCCCAATATAATCTTTGGTACTTAAGTACATATTTTAGGACCAAAACTTTTCTTTTACTGTTTGATATTTGGGGCCACTTGTTTCATTGCTTATTATTGTCATTATCTCATCACCCTTATTTATTTATGAGTCTTGTGAGAACAATGTAAGTGTTCACAAATTTGAGTCATAATGAAAATCAACTATAGATTCACTTTAATCTTAGTCGAAAGATTTGAGCAATATCCTATAATAGTATAATAATAATATAATATAGCACTAGTAAGTAAGTAAGTAAGTAAAGGCCCTCCCGTTGATCATCGATTTGCTCGAGCGGGCCCAGTAACGTCTCCATTGGAGACTTTGTTGTTACTGTGTCTGGCATATCGAATACGTCACGGGGAGCTTGCCAGGCTCTGCCATGCGGGCGAGATACTCTCGGTAGCTTGCCGGGTTCTCTGAGAGGGGTGGAGGAATCGAACCTCTGTCAACCGGTCCGCTGCGTGCAAGGCAAACGCCCTACCTGCTGTGCTATCACTCCAGCCCACTAGTACATATATAATATAGAATATAGAATATATTATAATGGTAAAGGTAAAGGTAAAGGCCCTCCCGTTGATCGTCGATTTGCTCGAGCGGGCCCAGTAACGTCTCCATTGGAGACTTTGTTGTTACTGTGTCTGGCATATCGAATACTCTCGGTAGCTTGCCGGGCTCTCCGAGAGGGGCGGAGGAATCGAACTCGGGTCGGCCATGTTGGCCGCTTGTAAGGCGAACGCCCTACCCGCTGTGAGTGTGTCAGGATGGCCGAGTGGTCTAAGGCGCCAGACTCATTATAATAGTAATATAATAATATAATAGTAGTAATATTATAGTGGGTTGGAGCGATAACACAGTGTCAGGGCGTTTGCCTTGCACGCAGCCAACATGGCCGACCCAAGTTCGATTCCTCCGCCCCTCTCAGAGAGCCCGGCAAGCTACCGAGAGTATCTCGCCCACACAGCAAAGCCTGGCAAGCTCCCCATGACGTATTTGATATGCCAGACACAGTAACAACAAAGTCTCCAATGGACACGTTACTGGGCCCGCTCAAGCAAATTGATGAACAACGAGAGGACAGTGACAATATTATAGTATAATCTTATAAAAGTAACCTAACTTCAAGACAGAACTCAATTGATCTTTTTATCAGATAAGTCTGGAAAAGATGTTGAGAACTCTTGATCATTGTATAATTGAAACCCAAGCACAAATATTTGTAAGTCTACAACTGTACCTCATGGTATCTCACTAATAAAAATTAAAAAAAAAATGTTGAGAACTCTTTATTTAAATTTTTAGTAAATTTTAGTTAATTTAACTAGTAGATTTTAGTTGACTTTTTAGTAAATTCAGGCGGGTGTTTTCTGCAGACTTTCACAACTGGGAAAGATATGCAAAAGGGCTGGATGACCTCTGGGGAGTTCAACGTCCACTGGGCCAAGGGTGCTTAGTGGTATCACAGGGTGCTAAATTTCCGGGTTCAGCGGCGCGCTCAGGGGTTGCCGGCGGCTTCTCGGTCCTCCCGCGGAGTCCTCCGAGACGTCCAGGCCAGCAGGGGTCGCTGCTCTGCGGCCCGGCGAAGCTGCTGCGCACGCACGACCCACTCTCGGGATGCCGGCGCCCCGGAAGGGGCGGAGCTCTGGGCGCCGGGGGCCGGCGGCGGCGGCGGCGGCGGCGGCACGGCGGCGGGGGGACCGTGGGAGGAGCGCCCCGACGTGCAGGTAATTGCAGCCTCGGCGGGCGCACAGCGCCCCCCGCAGCCCGCGCGGCCCCTCCGTTGCTGCGGGGAGGGAGCGTAACGCGTTTATGCGCTAAGGAGCGCGGCGATGCCCTTCTGCCCGGCCGCGTCTCTGCGTGAGTCACCCGCGTCCGGGCCCGGCCCCGGTTAGTCTCCTGGGTGGAACCGGGGACGCTGCAGGGCACCGTGCGGGGGACCCAGCCCGCGCACCCGCCACTCAGGTCCTGGCTCCGAACGCCGCCCGGGCGCCGGAGCACCCCTGTGCTGTCCAGTCTCGCCTGACCTTGGAGCCCCGGGAAGGTGCGCCGCCCGCGGCGGGAGGGCTGCGCCGCTGATGGGGAGGGAGCAGTGGGGACCCGAGCCCCCGTCCCCGTGGACCGTCGGGAGCACGGGAGAAAACTTTTTTTTTTTTCCTTTGGCATCCACCTAAAAAAGCTCTTGCCGGGCTGGCGGCCGAGCCGTACGAACGGGATCGATAACGTGGGGAGCGATTCCAGCATACGGACGGCCTTGGCCTCCTACCCCAGACTTGTTGTGGTGTGTGTGTGTGTGTGTGTGTGTGTGTGTGTGTGTACCTCAGAACTTGTTTTGGGGTGTGTGTGTGTGTGTGTGTGTGTGTGTGTTGTCCGTCCCTAGCTGCTGACGGTGAGTTCAGAGAGGGTACCGCCTGGTCCGAAACTCCCTCCGTGCTCATTCCCCCTCCTCCTGTCCACACTGCCTGCCGTGGCCCAAGAGGAGATCTGGGTGGAGGACACTACTCCAGGGCCACTTTCCCGACTTTAGATCTGGCTCTGTGTGTGTGTGTGTGTGTGTGTGTGTGTGTGTGTGTGTACGCGCGCGCGCCTGTGCGCGTGTGCCCCCGAAGCTTTTGGAACTCTAAGAGGTGCTTGCCCACCATGGATGTGGGTGTGGGTGTGTCTGCACACCCGCGCTGCATCCTTATATGCGTGTGCTTTTTCGGATCTCTGCAAAAAAAAACGCTTCAGTTGTGCGGATCTTGTTTTCATTGCCTTCTGTTTAATTAAGCACTTTATAAAATGCTTTATAAAGCATGTTCTGGGCACTTGGGACTTTCAGGGACAGTCCCAGCCCTGGCAGCATCTTTTTTCTCTCTAGCAGGTGGAAAAGATAACCCTAATCAACTAGATACAGTGATGGGTGATAAACAGCTTATTGTAGGACTGTGGGTGGGGGAGGGCTTGAGGAGGTGAGTTTGAAGCCTTGAGCCTTGAGCCCAAGGAAATGACCTGTCCATGGAGTTGTATCTTGCTGAGTGTTCTTAGGTGCAGGTGGCAGGAAGTGCCCTACCCAGGAATGTGCCTGATGAGTATAGGGACAGCTTGTTCCATCAGGAGGAACAGTCATGAGGCTGCAGCTGGACCCCCCCCCTTGTGCAAGTGGGACAGAGAAAGAGAGAGAGAGAGAGAGAGGGAGAGAGAGGGAGAGGGAGGGAGGCAGGCATAGAAGGACCGAGAGGCAAAGTGGTGGGTGCTGCTATGATTTCCTTTTTTGGAAAAATCACTCTTCACTACGGAGAGCAGATGCAGACAGTCTTTGCAGCTCAGTGATGGGCACCTGAGTCTGTGGAAGTCCGTGGGCGAGACAGATTGTGAATTGAAAGCCAAAGTAGTTTCCTGGCATAATGGATGGTGGGATGAGGAAAGAGAAGCGCACGGATGCAGTGTTTTTCTTTCTCAGGGGGGTTGGTATTAACTGAGATGAGAAAAGGTGTTCTGTTCTCATGTGGAGCCACAGAGTTAGGGGTGGAATTACAGCTGTTGTTTGGGGACCAGTTAAGTTTAAGGTGCCTGTTGTGGGTCCAGGTGGAAATGCTGTTACTGTGCCACGGATGGGTAGATGCTGCAGCTACAGCACCACCACCGTGCTGAGAAAAGAGAAAAGAGCCTGGACCTATTAGCTAGGGAGCCTGAGTTTGAATCGTTTTGTATCTAGGTGTAGCTGAGATTGGCTTATCAGATGGAATAAATGGGTTAACATTTATTAATGAGGCAGTGATGAGCCCAGAGTAAACAGTGAACATTAAGAGGACATGGGTTGGAGAGGGGTTGGTTCAAAGGGTTGGATCACATGCTTTACAGGAGGGAGGCTGGGATTTGATCCTCCCCCTAGCCCCAGCACTACTGGGTGTGACCTAAAACCAAAAAGCAAAGGTAAAATATGGGTGATTTGCATTTCCTTTGTTTTTTTTTTTTTAATTTTCTACTATGAAGCATTAGGCCCAAGAAATAGTGTAGTGGTAGAAAATATGGGTTATTTTGTTTTATTTCATATGTATATATGACATGTTAAATGTGCATATAATAATGAAAACTTGCATCTTTTTTAAAAAAAAGTAGTTATAGCAACAGTTACTAATAGGAAAAATCTTACTTTGCAAAATAAAGGACTATCTTGGCAAAAACAAAAGCAGCCTCCATTGGGTAACTTTGTCCTGGTCTGATCTCCAGTACCGCATGATCCCCCAAACACTAAACCAGGAGCAGCACTGGAGCACCACCAGGTGGCCCCAGAACAAAATCCAACTTTTATTTATTTATTTATTTTATTATAGTGATCTCTGAAATCTGGGAACTACTGAAGGATGTCATTTTTCTTCCTTAATCCCCACTTACATAAAATTTATATTTCTTTGTATAAATGAATTTTCTCACTCAAAAAAAAAAAAAGAAACCCCACCAACTGGCCCCCTGGCACCGTGTAATCCCATCAACAGCCAAGACCCAGAAACTATAAAACCCAGCTCCCGGAAGAGAACAGCGCAGAGTTTCCTGCCCCCGTGCCTGGCTGTCCTCGCCGGGGCCCCTCGGAGGGGTGCAGGTTGAGTTTTCCTCCCCGCCCCGACCAGGGCTCCAGCAGCCGAAGACCTCCAGAACCAGCAACCACCGTGCTGAGACCACTCTCCACACGCATGAAGGTATTGGCAGAGGAACAAAGGCATGTGGGTCCCGGGGCTGAGATCTCCAAGCCTGCTCAGATCGGGGCTGAGCATCCTCCACCCAGATCCTCCATATTCCAGTAGGCAGGGGTCACACCCACCAACTGGCTCCCCGGCGCCGTGTAATCCCATCAACGGCCAAGACCCAGAGACTATAAAACCCAGCTCCCGGAAGCGACATCTTACTATCCCATTCTTGCTTTGGACAACCTGGCAGGCTACTGAATGTAACCTGCCCACACAGCAGAGTCTGGCAAACTCCCTGTGGCGTACCCAATATGCCAAATACCAGTAACAATGATGGGTCTCATTCTCCTAATCCTGAAAGAGCCTTGAATATGGCACTTTTCAAAAAATCTCAGGGCTAGGGTGAAGGAGACGTTATTGGGACCTGCTTGAGGCAATCAACGAACAACAGGATGGTTGTGATCATATAAATGAGAATTCAGTGATGCTTTTAAATTACATAGGATGTGGGGCTAGAGTGCACAGCGGGTAGGGTGTTTGCCTTGCATGCCGCCCGACCCGGGTTCAATTCCCAGCATCCCATATGATCCCCTGAGCACCACCAGGAGTAATTCCTGAGTGCATGAACCAGGAGTAACCCCTGTGCATCTCTTGGTGTGACCTCACCTCCCAAAAATTACATAGGATGTGTGTTAAGATGATTTCTTACTGTTTGTGGGGAGGGAGACACTGTTGGGCCGCGCCCTCGGGTGTTGGGGATGGGACTCTGGGCCTCTCCCAAACAAGGCACGAGCTCCCCCACTGAGCCACACGGCCCAGCCCTTGTGGCTTCTGCTCTCTGCTGGTGGGTCTCCACCATGGTCCTCCCGAGAGGCGGCTGTGCATCTGAACTGTGCCGTGGGGAGCTTTCATTTCTGCTCACTTGGCTCTTTAGTTGTGGAGCTGCACAGACATTGTTCCCGCGTTGGGTTACAGGCAGCCAAGAAGCTCAGGATTGTGCTTATGTGGGCAGCACCCATTGGAGGCTTTGTATTTGTTTATTGGACCACACACGGCAGTCCTTAGGGGGTAGGGATTATTTCTCCCTAGCAGGTGCCAGGGGAGTTGCTCCTGGCATTGTTGCCAGGGGACCCAGTGGTGCTTGGGACTGAACCTGGGTCTGTGCTCAGCCTGTTGGAGCTTTCTCTAACCCAAGGGGCTTCAGCCACTGAGCTACCCCTGACTTCTCGTCAGTGTTTTTGAGTATCCTGTGGGCTGCATAGCGTTTCATTTCAAATTGGAGTTACGTTGAGAATCAGCCCGTGGGCTCTGGAGGAACAGTGCTGTGACTAAAGGGTCAACCTTAACAAGAAGAGGGTCACAAGTGAAAGTCCCTCAGTGCCCCGCATGCCCCGAGCTTGATTCTGGCACGTGAGCCCAGTGTCTCAGCTGTCTTCCACCCTGGCACCGCTGCAGTATCCAGCCACACTGCAGCCAGGTGCACTGTGTGTGTGTGTGTGTGTGTGTGTGTGTGTGTGTGTGTGTAAACTCCACAGAAAAAGGCAGAGGACATGTCTTGCACATGGAGGATCTGTCTTTAGTACCTGGTACCACAAAAAAAAAAAGGGCGCAACTTTTGTGCTAACACCATAACTAAAAAAATACCTGAACCTCATATGGTCTCCTGAGCACCGCCAGATGTGGCCCCAAAACTAAGAAATTAAAGGGGCCAAAGAGATAGTACAATGGGTAGGGCGTTTTCCCTGCACACGGCCAACTTAGGTTTGATTCCTAGCATCCCATGGTCCCCCAAGCACCGCTGGAATAATTCCTGAATGCAGAACCAGGAGTAATCCCTGAGCATCACTGGGTGTGACCCAAAAAGCAAAAAAATAAAATTAAAAAGATACCTGAGTAGTGTTGGAGCCCTTCTGCCACCGCTGGTCCCCACCACAGCTGCAGTATGGGTGCCTCAGCAGAGTCACTGAGGACTCCAGGCCCTGGTGAGCGTGTGTCTATAATGCAGCCCGGACAAGCATTACAACTTTAAAAAGAAGCAAAGTCAAGAAAGTGTCAGCAGATTATCAGTTGGAAGTAACTGTTTGCCTCTCCCAAGTGTGCTCAGTCCTGGCCACCTGAAGATGCGCTGCAGCTTAGCCGTCATGGTGCCAGGGATAGAACCGGGATCGGCCACCACAGCACCTTTACTCCTGCACTATCTGTCTCCGGCCCCATCTCTTTTTGAACAGACATTAATTGTTCTTGGCTGGGGTTGTGCCTATCCAGGGGCACTTGCCTTGCTCCTTCTGGCACCACCATGAAACCAAACCAAAAAAAAGATAATTGCTCTTGTCATCTTTGTAGTGACTGAAAAGGAGGAGGAAGGGAAAACCACGAAAATCGTTTTCATCAAAAGAAATCAGTTCATACTTTGGCATGAAGTAAGTCTTTCACAGACTTGAAGGAAGTACAAGTTGACTGGCCATATGTCATCTCTTCTTGAATTACCAAGTCCCAGTCTCCAAGCCACTTCCAGGAGGCCCAGGGAGATAGCTCAGAGGGCCACTCTGCATGCCTGGCACAGGAAGCCCTGGGTCTCTCCGAGACACCTGCACCACTGGCATGGCCCTGGTGGACACTAGCACTGTTGGAGCCCACACAGCACTGGCAGGTGTGGCCCCCACACAAAAATAAATCATTGAGAGGGGTGTGATGTAGTGGTAGGGTACATGCACACCTTGCATCAGTCCTTGGCTAGCAAAAATTGGAAGAGTAAAATAAATCATTAATAGGCCAAGGAGAGAGATAGTTAAAGGAGCTGCCGCACATGCTTTGCATTCGGGAGACCCAGGTTCCATTTGCAGCACCACTTGCCTGCCCCCTGCCCCAAGCACCATGTCAGGAATAGCTTCTGAGCACCGCTGAGTGTGACTCAAAAAAACAAAATAAATTAAATCATTGGAACTGTTATTCATCTTTTTTCAGTAGTGCTCAGTTCCCAGGTTTATTTGGGGAAGAGAAGGAATGCTTTTGCACTGAACAAGTATCCAGGTCTGCCCTCGTTGCCGCCATGAGGGAAGTACATGGATTTCATCGTACATAATCTTACCAAGATGATGCACCAGGCCACAGTTTGTGGCCCATGATACAGGCAGATGGATCCGGTCTTTCATGGAGCGCTGATATGGAAACACGTCCTTAGAAGCATCACTTCATTATAAGTGTGAAAAGAGCATGATCCCAACTGTTTGAGGACCTGCTTTGGTTGGACCTTTTTCCTTTGAAGTTGTAGTTTTCAAGAGCATATTCAGTGAGGACTTACTGTACTAGATAGAAAGTGTTCCTGGGGCCTGAGTGATAATACAGCGGGGAAGGCATTTGCCCTGCACCCGGCTGACTTGGGTTCAATCCCCAACATTTCATATGGTCTCCCATGTACCACTATGGGTAATTCCTGAGTGCAGAGCCAGGAGTAACCCCTAAGCATCACCTGGTGTGAGCCAAAAACAAAACAAACAAACAAGCAAAATGTTCCTGGGGTGTGGTTTAAGCTGCAAGGATCCAGTCTTCTGGACTGGTGAAGTAAAGCTTAATTCTTCTCTCTTACAGGTTACAGGCGCCATGGCAGTGCCAAGTGTCAGGTTGCCTGCGAGTGTTTTAAGAAAACCAGACACCTGGCTCAGACTCTGGGCGACGCTACGGGGGACACCTTGCCCACACACGCCCCACAGCCCCTGGAAGCGATACTTCTACTTCTCTAGTACCGAGTCCACTGCGTCAAATCATAAGACATTTCTTCAGAATCTTTTCTCACTAAGACTCCCGGGGCTTTTCATTTCTCCACAAAGTGTCTTTCCACTCTCCCTAAGACTCAAAAGCAGTATTAGTTCTAAAAAGTCCGCTAAAAAGACTCTGCAAAAAGTCGAAGAAGAAGAGGATTCGGATGAAGAAGTTGACCATGAGCTGAGCGCGCCGGGAGAGGAGTTGGAGGACGACCCCAGCATGCCCAGAGACTACAAAGACCTGGAGAAGACCGTGCAGTCTTTTCGGTACGACGTCATCCTGAAGACAGGCCTGGATGTCGGGAGAAAGTAAGTGTGATGTGTGTTCTGGAATAAACTAACCCGCCTTGTAGTGTTTGGGTCACTTGCTAGTTTATCTCTGGGTGGCATTAGCAGTCACTCAGACCCTTTTGTGGTAAAGAACAACCCATAGATACTGTAAGAAACATAGGGGTGTCCCAGAAATCTGCCAGTCTGTGAGAAAACCCACAGAAGTGACAACCTTCAGACCCCATGTGCCCTGCCCCGTTGATTCGAAGACATGCTTGAGTCTTCCCCAGACCATTGATTTAGGGACTTCGGAAGAAAAGGAATTCGCCATATTAGATCTGGGTGTGGCAAATATAAAGTACATGAGGGGGGCAGATAGTACAGTGGGTAGGACAATTGCCTTGCATATGGCCAACCCTGTGTCGTCCCCTGAACCACACCAAAGTGATCCCTGTGCCACAGAGCCAGGAGTATACCCTGAGCAGTGTCAGGTGTGGCCCAAAAGCCAATAAATAAATAAAGTGCACAAGGGTTTCCTGGGATCCTACAGTGTGAAACGGTTCCCCTTGGAATCAGAAGCAGCAAAAGAACATGGTTGAGAATAAGCTGCAGGGACTTCTGTGGATCCTTGAGCAAGTTAACATAAATGCCACCTTAGTTCTTCATTTGTGAACAGGTGCTAACAGGAGTGCTCTGAAGATGGTTTCTAAGACTCCGTGACGATCCTAACTTTCTATACAAGCTTTAATGGGCCAGAGAGGTGACTCAGTGGGCTAAATTTTGTATACAGGAGGCCCAGTTGACCACATGGACCCACCTAGCTCAGAGTTGCCCCCAAGCACTATCAGATGTATCATCCCCAAACAATAAAGTATAACAGTGATTGGCAGTAAATTAAAAAAGAAAGAAAAAATTAGGGCTGGAGCAATAGCACAGTGGGTAGGGCGTTTGCCTTGCACGTAGCCAACATGGCCAACACAGGTTCGATTACCAACATCCCATATTGTCCCCCGAGCACTGCCAGGAGCAATTCCTGAGTGCATGAGCCAGGAGTAATCCCTGAGCATCGCCGGGTGTGACCCAAAAAGCTAAAAAAAAAAATAAAAAAAAATAAGTGCCTGTCTCGGGGCTGGAGACATTATAAAGGCATTAAAGATGGATAGGGGACTGGAGTGATAGTACAGTGGGGAGGGCGTTTGCCTTGTACACGGCTGGCCTGGGTTTGATTCCCGGTATCCCATATGATCCCCCAAGCACCGCCAGGAGTTGCTCCTGAGTGCAGAACCAGGAGTAACCCCTGAGCATCGCTGGATATGGCCAAAAAAGGGGGGAAAAAATGGGTAGGACCTTTGCTCTGCATGCAGCCAACCTGGGTTCAATCTCCGGTATCCCCTGAGCACTGCCAGGAGTAATGCCTGAGCATTGCTGGGTGTGACCCAAAAGCAAAAAAAAAAAAAAAAAGTGCCTGATTCAAGAGCCAGAAAGGTAGTACAGTGGGTAGAGTGCTTACCTTATATATAGCCAACCCAGGTTCTAACCCCAACATCGCCTAGTTGGTCCCCCAGTGTCCAGGAGTAATCCCTGAAATTGCTGGGTATGTTCCCAAAACACACACATAGTGCCTAACTCAATACTATAAGGCAGAAATAACTATATATATATTTCATAGATATGAAGTCTGATGTTTCAAGATCTCTGTAACATTCTTAACTTTCTACTGAATTGATTCTGTAATAGTGGTTTTTGTGGTCTTCGGAGGCCAGAGTGATATAATACATCATGTGGGACATTGGCCTTGCATGCCCCCAGCCTGGATTTGATCCTTGTTTCCCATCTGGCCTCCTGAACCTGCCAGGAGCGATACCTGAGCACTGTCAGTTTCAGCCCCAAAACCAAAAAAATGGTGACCATCAGGCCAGGAAGAACCCAAAGGGCTAGTGCATGTGCTTTGATACCCGGCACCATTATGGTCCCCTGACCACTGCCAGATATAACTCCGATACCAGAAATAGGGGGGAAGTGATAGTGATCCCATAGTTCATACTCTGGGACTCGTGGTATGATGAACTGCATGCAAAGTAAGAGTTGTGTTATAAATAATAAATTCAGAAAGATTTCCTAATGTGGTGTGTGCCTTTGTCCCCTAATTCAATCCTATGCATTCATCAAGATCACTCCCAGCCCATAGGCACATGATTAGGATTTGTTTAACATTCTTTAAAATCTGGCAAGCTCCATGTCTTCTCCCTTTCCCAGTGTAGTAGCTGATAGTATTGCCGTCGTCCTGGGGGCCGCTACTGGCTTGGGGGGTGTGGAACTCAGACCTCCCACATACAAAGCTGTGCTCCAGCCCTGCTACCATTCATCAGCATCCATCTCGTTCCGGATGTGAGTCATCACCTGGTATCAGATAGAACACATACTTGTGTTTACCTCTTCTGCCGGACTGGTATCTTCTCCATCTCAGTGTCGACCAGCAGAGGGTTTCTCGGTGGCCACCCCCTGGTGCTGGTTCAGTGGAGGGTCAGGTTGGGGAGAGGCAGGCAGTGCCTTTTTGACTATTGGGGCTGGAGCCATAGGACAGCAGGAAGGGCATTTCCCTTTTATGCGGCTGACCCAGGTTCCGTCCCTGGTATCCCGTATGTTCCCCCGAGCACCACCAGGAGTAACTCCTGAGTGCAGAGTCAGGAGTAAGACCAGAGTATAGCCGGGTGAGACCCCAAAACAAAACAAAAATACTTAAGGAAGTTGCTGCCTGGGGGAGTCAGGTGAAGACACCTCCAGGCTCCTCTGAATGGGATTTGTGCTAACCCCCTCCCGAAAGCTCCATGCGGGGTTCAAGGAATGCTAGAAGTAGGTCTGCCCCGGGACCCTCAGTGCTTAGACCACATTCTGTGATCCCTTATGGCATCACATAACTGAAGGGGCAGGTGAGTCACCAAAAATTGGTCTGGAATTTATGACCTATTGAATGTTTGATTTGTACTCATTTCACACACACACACACCTTTATTTAAACACCATGGTTTATTAAGTTGTCATGATTTGTTACAGGCATTCAGTATTCCAACACCCATCTCAACACCACTGTCACCTTCCCTCCATCATTGTCTCGTTTTCCCAACCACCCACGCTTCCCCCCATAACAGGTCGACAGTAACTTATTTGATATTGCTTGTTACCGCTAAATGACTAACAAAATGATAAAAAAAAAATTTCAGTAGAAGAAAATTTGTAGGAAATTGTTTCATCACACCGTGGGAACATGAAGTCCTTGTCCGAGGGTTTACTAAGCTGCTGCAAGTCAAGCCAGCTGTGTTGCTTTTGTTACTTGGGACGAGTTGGCATCTACGTTCCATTCTCATCCGACCTGATATGCTCCTACTGGGGTGTCAATGCTACAAAGTTTGGAATGTGGTCGTGTGCTCCAGAAAATCAAGAATAAGATTTGTACTCTTCATTTCATGTAGCCTGGTGCGCCAAAAAAGTTCTTGGATAAAAAGGTCGCTAGTGGGAAGGGTTCAGGAGCCCTGCCCCAGAGTCCTCAGCGCTGCCGCGTCAGAGGAGCAAAGGAGAGAGGTCAGGCTCTGGAGCCAGGGGACTCTCTGTCCCCACAGCCGCTGTGGAGATGCCGTGGGAAGCGTGGGCACTGGCAGAGAAATAAGCAGTGATGACAAGTGTTTCCTCAGACTTGTAAATGGTTTTGTGAATATTTTCTCTAAAACATGCTGCTTTTTTTTTTTTAAGCAAAGTGGAAGACGCTTTCTACAAAGGTGATCTCAGGCTGAATGGAGAAAAGTTATGGAAGAAGAGCAGAACGGTGAGACGTGAACCCTGTGCGGAGAGAGATTGCTCTGCCCGCATGCAGCTCCTTGTACCACCATTGTCCTCTCAGCGTGTGTGTGTGTGGGGGGGCGAGTTAGAGAAGAGAGGAGAGAGCTTCCCTGAGAGGTGTGCCAGCCAGTTTCACCACACGCCATTTTCTCATACCCAGCGGTGTTCAGGGGGCTCGTATGTGGTGCTTGAACTCGGGTCAGCTGCCTGCAAGCCAAGCTCTTGACCCTCTCCCCCATGTTCTTAAAAAATTTGGTGGTGGAGTGCCAGAAACGTAAACTGGCAGGGTACTTGCCTTCCACATGACCAGCTGGCACCGTGTACATTCCCCAAACCGTGCCAGGACTGATCCCCGAGTCCTACCAGGTATGGCCCCCAAAAAACAAAAACAGATTTTTGGGGGTTGGGGGCTCCTCAGCAATGGTCATGGGACCCAGGGACCGCACCCAGTAGTACTGCCCCTTCAGTAGACCCTCCTGCAACACCCGGGTGCACGGCTCTGTGGAGGAGAGCTGTCACAGGTCACTTTATATGTTACTTTGGGGGCAGGGCCAGCGTGCTCAGAGGTTGCCACCAGCAGTGCTTGGGGGAACATGGTGCCAGGGATGGAACCTGCAGGCAAAGCATGTGTTCACTGTTGAGCTCTCTCCAGCCCAGCCTCTCTTACCCCTATCAGCTCCATCGTCCTGCTGTGCTTAAGTGAAGGAAGCCACTTCAAGGCAGTATAGTATAGAATCCAATGTTGTAAAAAGTCATATGTATACATACATACATATATGTATGTGTGTGTGTGTGTGTATATATACATACATATACATATATATGGGCTGGAGCGATAATAGCACAGCAGGTAGGGCATTTGCCTTGCATGCAGCTGACCCGGCAACCCGGGTTCAATTCCTCCGCCCCTCTCAGCCCAGCAAGCTACCGAAAGTATCTCGCCCACACAGCAAAGCCTGGCAAGCTACCCATATTTGATATACCACAGTAACAAGTCTCACAGTGGAGACGTTACTGGGCCCGCTCAAGCATATCGGTGAACAGCGATACAGGACAGTGCTACATACATATATATGTATACATGCACACACACAAACTCTTGGTTGGCAGGATGTGACTTAGTTGTAGACCACATACCTTATATGCATGAGACTGTGGGTCAGTTCCCAGGACTGAAGAAAAGAATTCTATTTAAAAACAAAAAAAATTTTTTAATGGATCACCTATGGATATAATAGGGATCATGCTTTCTATTTATCTTTGTTCTGGGGACCACATCCAGCTGTGCTCAGGGCATATTCCTGGCACTGCACTCAGGGATCACTCCTGGAATGCAGGAACCCTATGGAGTGCCAGGGATCAAACCCAGGTTGGCCAGTGCTAGGCAAGTGCCTTAGCTGCTGTGTTATTTCTAGCCCTCTTTATTTTTTTGTTTTGTTCTGGGTTTTAGAGGGTCACACCCAGCGATGCTCAGAGGGTACTCCTGGCTCTCTGCTCAGTGCTTAGGAGACCATATGGGATGCCAGAAATTGAACCCCGGTTGACTGCATGAGGCAAATGTCCTGCCCACTGTACTGTCGCTCCGGCCCCTTTATTTATTTATTTTTTTAATGCGAATGTTTTGCTGGGGATCCAACCCATGGCTGGGCTTGAAGCCAGAGCATCACACCTGGAAGAAAATTTAATTCAGAAATGAAGGGTTGAGCCAAATCTCCAGCCCTGAATTTTTATGAGTGCATCACTTTCATTATTAAAAAAGATCTAATAATGGCAAAAATTAACAAAACGATAAAAAAAAAGTGTAAGACAAAGATCCTTTACAGAGTTTGGAAGACTCAGAAGGCATTGACTGGCATAATTAACTCTTTGTGGCTAAGGAGCAAATTCCTAAGGAAATTATCCTTAGAGCTCCATCCCTTGGTGACCCCACACCCACCCCCCGGGGAGTCTGCACTTAATGCCCAGCACCTCCAGTCCCAGCCGGTCTTGATTGATACCCCCTCCCAAACTCCTGCCCAACTGTGGGTCCTGGGCATTAAGGGCAGCCTCCCCAGTGTGGGTGTGGGGTCACCAAGGGATGGAGCCCTCGTAAGGATAATTTCCTTAGGATATTTGCTCCTTCGGGCTCCAGGGGAGCCCGAATTATCCTAAGGATATGTCCTTAACCACATCCTAAGGATATATCCTTGACCTCATACTCTGGTCAAGCCACTTTCCTTTTTTCGGAGCACAGCTGGGGGAGCGGGATGTGGCCCAGCAGTGAAGGTTGCGCCTTCTACGTATGTTGCAGACCTAGGTTTGGCGGTCAGAGAGATGATTCTGAGGTTACTGTACATGCTTTGCCCAGGTTCAACCTCCAGCATGCCATGGCCCCTGGGGCATCACTGGAGGATGGAGGCCCCTGAGACACTGCCAGGGGGACCTGGGTAATCCCCGGCACCCCAAGGCCCAAGAAAGTTCTGCCACCTGCCTGCTGTCACAGTGAACCACTGATGAGTCCCAGTTAGCTGAATCTCAGGATGGGGCCCTGGGACCTCCTCAACATGGCTTGGGAGACCCCCATCAAAAAAATGTAAAATAAAGCTTGGTTTTTTATATACACACAGCTTGGGAGCCTCCCCCCCGCCCCAAGCAATATATAATAAAACTTGGGTTGATCTTCACACACACACACACACACACACACACACACACACACACACACACACACAGAGCAAACAAACTGGACTAGCCCCTGTGATTGGAGGCCCTGCTGCACCCAGTGATGAGAGTGGGTGGCACTGGGCCTAGTGCTAGAGGCCTGACTCCCTGGGGTGAGGCTGCTCCTTGCAGCCTAGCGAGCACCAGGCAGGGGCTCCCCGTGCTGTGTCAGCACCCCTGGAGAGGTTCCCGCTGCGGGTGGCTCAGGGAGCGCAGAGATGGAGCAGAGCCTATGGGGCCTTCTCTTCCCGTGCCCCCTGCCCGGCCCCCTCTCCCCCACCCAGGAGTGTGTCCTGCGGGAGGGCACTTCCCTGCTACTCACAGACACCAGCGCCCCTTTCTCTTCCCCCACCCAGCTTTCAGACACTGGTCACGGGAGCCTCGGCAGCCTCAGTGTCACACCACCTCTTGCCCCAATGTTCAGCTGTGGTTTCTAGATTTCTCCCAAGGAGGAGGAGGAAAGGCGGACCCCTGCCCCCCCTCCCCGCCCCGCCCCCAGCAGAACACTTGAGGCCCTGTGACAGGGCGTCTGATCGCCATGGTAACCGCAGCTGAGGGGAGATTTGAAATGGAGATAATTGGAAGCGCCCTTAATCCCAGCCAGTGTGGCTTTGTGTCTGGTGCTTCCCCTCCACAGGCCTTGCTAGAGAACAAAGCCCCCCTCCCCTCCCGTGGGGCCAGGGGCTGACTGTTGACTAGGGCAGGGCGGGAGTGGAGCAGGTGCCTCGGGGAGCTGTGCCTCTAAATCTGTGCACAGCTCACTGGGGAGGGGGTCCCGACAAGGACAGGCTGGGACTGGGCGGGGGGGGGGGGGGGGGGGGGGGTCGTATACTGGGCATTAAGCACAGTCTCCCCGGAGTGGGTGTGGAGTCACCAGGGGATGGAGCCCTCCTAAACCCAGTCTGCGGGGGGCTTTCTGGGAAAGAGAATATAGTCCCCTGTCTCCACCCTCTGCCCCAGAAATAGGCCCAAAAGGACCCACTCTCCATCGCGCTGGCCTTAAGGGGGCAGCAACAAGCACAGGGTGTCTGTGTCAGTTAGATAAGTTGTTTTTCTCTGTATGGCCACTTGTATCTTTTACACTCTGCATACTGTGTTTTATTTGCTAAAAATGTGAATGTTAAAAGATTTTTTTTTTTTGCTTTTTGGGTCACACCTGACGATGCACAGGGGTTACTCCTGGCTCATACACTCAGGAATTACTCCTGCTGGTGCTCAGGTCAGTGGACCATACGGAATGCTGGGAATTGAACCCAATTGAACGGGTCGGCCACATGTAAGGCAAATGCCCTACCTGCTGTGCTGTTACCCCTGCCCAAAAGATTTTGAATGAAGTCATGCCAGGAAAGGTCAGGCAGAGCCCCCAAGCCTCGCATTTCTCGGCATTGGTATGCTTTTGTATTTTGGGTCACTCCTGGTGCTGCTCAGGGGCCCATGCAGTGTCCTGGTTGGGACCCAAGGAGCGAGGCAAAGCAGGAGCCCCAGCCCTTGGCGCTATCTCCCCCACGCAGTGGAAAGCTAAGGAGGAGAGTCAAAACCATGGTACAGTGGATCAGGCGCTTGCGTTTTTCTGACCAAGGTTCGGTCCTCAGCATCATGTACGGTTCCCCCAGCCCCAGCAGGAGTGATCCCTGAGCACCGCCAGGTGGGACCCACAGTAGCAACAACAAAGCTAAGGAAGTAGACTTGATAACTGGTTGCCCTACAGCCCACCCCACGCCCCTCGGGGTGTGTGGGTAAGTCCACCCAGCAAACACACACGGGAGCAACCTCTCCCTGCTGCTGCTGTGTGCCTCTCCTCAGCCCAGAGCAAAGCTAGTTACCGCTTCCTGTCAGGCCCCTCAGGCCTGCAGGGGGTGGAGTGTTTGCCTTGTACCCAGACAGCCTCGATTCCATCCCAGCATCACATAATGGTCTCCCCGCACCTCCAGGAGCCATCCCTGAGCACAAAGCCAAGAGTACTCACCAAGCACCACTGGAAGTGCCCTCCCCCAAAAAAGTGAGACTGTGGCTCATTTTGGAGGGGGGAGGAAGGGTTGCTTATCGCCAATCCTGAGCAGGCCTGAGCAATGCTGAGTAGAGTGCGATGTGCCCCATGCTCTCGTGGAAGCAGTGCACGGCCCTGGGGTCACTTGCCCCTGGGTGTGGCAGTCCCTTATTCCAGAGCTGCCCAGTGGATTTGGCCTTGACCCCTTGAGCCCGCCGCAGCAGCAGCACCCAGCTGGACCCTCTCTCAGTGACGCTGAACCTTTGGGAGCTGAGTCCTCCTTTGGGTGGCGTGATGGCCACTGCCAGTGCTGGACAGGGCAGCCTCTTTCCTTGCCCTTCCTCAGAGTCATGCAGCTCAGATGTCGCCGGGTCTCACCTGCCGCCCCTCACCTTTGTATCGTCTCCTTTTCTAGGTGAAAGTGGGAGATGCACTGGACCTCGTCCTCGAGGAGAATAAGGACGCAGAGACGGAGACCGTGATGCGGATCCTCCTGAAAAAGGTGTTCGAGGAGAAGACGCAGAGCGACAAGTTCAGGGTGGTGCTGCGCCGGTGGAAAAGGCTCCAGCTACCGAAGAAGAATGCGGCCAAGTGAGCGGGCCGCCAGCTGCCGAGAGGACTTAACATTCAAATAAATTTCTCTTTTATCTGAATCTGCTGGGCTGTTCCGTAATGATGGGAGGCTGCAGTCTGTGAGAGCCCCTTCCCAGCTGCATTCCCCCTGGCCTCACACGATTTCTCCGTGCTTTGTGCTCTGAGTGCACCCATAGGCTGGATGGACTGTGCCAGAGGGGCACTAACCACCAGGCTACCCGCAAAAGAAACTCGCCTGGGTGTCGCTTACTGTTTGCCTCTGGTCACTGTCAGCCAGTTGCTCTCTTCGGAAGCTTCTTAAGGCAAAAGCCAACAGAATCCCCGGGGCTTGAGAGGGTGGTACAGTGGTAAGGTACTTGCCCTTGAACGAGGCCAACTTGAGTTTGATCCCCAGATGATCCCCTGAGCATCACAAAAGTGATCCCTGAGCACAGAGCCAGGAGTAAGGCCTTAATCAGGTTGGGTGTGACAACCAAAACAAAGAGCAGCTCCAGCCCCAGGGGAGGGGTGCCGGGACTCACCTTTCCCACCTGCATCTGGGGTAACATGCCTTGCTGCCTTCATACCCTATGGTGTGCAGAAGTCTGGATGAGTCAGGTTGTTCCAGCCAATTCCAAAAAGACAAGTTAGGGCCTATTTAAAGTAGACTTGAGGGGCTGGAGCACAGTGGGTAGGGCGTCTGCCTTGCACGTGGCCAACCCGGGTTCAATTCCCAGCATCCCGTATGGTCCCCCGAGCACCGCCAGGAGTAATTCCTGAGTGCATGAGCCAGGAGTAACCCCTATGCATCGCCGGGTGTGACCCAAAAATAAAAAAATTAAAAATAAGGTAGAGTTGGGCCAGAGCAATAGTACAGAGGGGAGGGCATTTGTTTGCCTTACACATGTGAGCAACCCAGGTTTGATCCCCAGCATCCCACGTGGTCACCTGAGCACCCCAAGGGGTAATTCCTGAGGGCAGAGCCAGGAGTAGCCCGTGAGCATCGCCGGATGTGACCCAAAAGGCCAAAAATAAGAGCTGAGATCAGGGTAACCACCCTGAGGTGAACTAAGGCATCCAGATAAACCTGAGTATAAGGTACTGATGCTAACAATGGTTTTTAAGTTTCTAAAAGAATTTTTTAAAGGGAAAGAATACTTGACAAGCCTCAGGTGACCCCTTAAAGCCTTTCAACTATTTGCTGATCCTTTATAGAGAAAATTGGGTGATCCCCAGGTTTAGGGTATCACTGTCACTGTCACTGTCCTCCTGTTGTTCATCGATTTACTCAAGTGGGCCCAGTAACGTCTCCATCGTGAGACTTACTGTTACTGTGTTTGGCATATTGAATACGGCACGGGTAGCTTGCCAGGCTTTGCTGTGCAGGCGAGATACTCTTGGTAGCTTGCCGGGCTCTCTAAGAGGGTATTACACTGAGTATTAATTGTCAGGTAAAAGTACATGAATACACAATTTCATCAGTGGAAATGATGAGGTCGACCAATTTTCCTTTCAAGAAAGTGTCAGGACGGGGTTGGGGCGGTAGGGCATTTGCCATGCATGCAGTCCACCCGGGTTCTATCCCCAGCACTCCTATGGTCCCCGAAGCGCCACCAAAAGTAAAAGCTAAAGTTCATCAAACATTCAAAAACTCTGACCCATAAGAGTAATGCTAAATTTTCCCTGTGCTTTAAAAATGGAGCAGCAAAGCCTGGATGGCAGCACATCTGTTTACAACATGGTTACTGAATATTATAAACTCACAGTTGGGCTGGAGTGATAGTACAGCGTGTAGGGTGTTTGTTTTCCTTGCACACTGCCAACCTGGGTTCAATCCCCTTCATCCCATATGGTTTCCCAAGCCCTGCCAGGAGTCATTCCTGAGCGCAGAGCCAGGAGTAAATCACTGAGCATGGCCAGGTGTGACCCAAAAAGCAAAAAACGCATAGTTGGTACCTACTGTCTAGGAAACCAAAAGGGTTTTTTCGTTTTTTTTTCCAAAATATTTTTTCTCATTGACTATGCATCTGGTCACCCAGAGTTCTGGTGGAGATGGACAAGAGATGAAGGTTGTTATCACACCCATTTAGTGTATCCGTTCTACCTTGTATGGAAGGGTAATTTTAATTTTCAAGCCTTATTATTTAACAGATATATTTTTAAGCTGCCATCAGTTCCTCTTATGGAATTTGGCAGTCAAAAACTTTCTGGCCAGATTGGTCCTAAAACAAAACAAACCAAGAAAATGTTCAGAGAGGGACAAAGGCTCCATATAGACTAGAGGCTTGCAGAGGGGGACTTGGGCTCACAGTGCAGGCCTGAGAAATAGCAAAAACCAGCATCAGTTCCCAGAGTGCCACTGGAGGAGTCACCTTTTCACCAGGCTGCCTCTTCAGAAGGACTATGCATCCTTGTTTATTCTGCTTCCCAGAATGTCTTCAACTGTGGAAAGAATAACACCCAAATCAGGAGTGTTTGGGCCCAACACTGAAAGCCTTAAACCAGCTGATTTCAGAAGGAAAGTGGCATGTTATTTGAAAGCTGAAATAAACCGTGGGGCCACAGAGCCCGGAGTAACTCTTGAGCATTGCTAGGTGTGGCTCAAAAACACATTCTTTTACGTTGGGAGGCCCATACTGGATTCCCAGAGCTGCATGGTCTTCGGAACACTGCCCGGAGCAACATCTGACCACAAAATCAGAGTAACCACTGAGCACCACCGGTGTACCCAAAAAAAGATTGCTTTAAAACTAACTTGGAATGGGCTGGAGCAATAGTACAGTGGGTAGGGTGTTTGTCTTTCATATGGCACACCCAGATTCGATCCCCGGCACCCCATATTGTCCCCCGAGCCCGCCAGGAGGGATCCCTGAGTGCAGAGCCCAGAGTAACTCTTGAGTATTGTAGGTGTGGCTCAAAACCAAAACAAAACAAATGAACTTAGAATAAGTCATTTGCAGGGCAAACAAAAAAATTTCAGTTTTACCACTTGTAAAATTGTTACTGGGTCAGTAACAATAAAAGGTTGCCTCTCACGCCATTGGGGAGTCTCAAAGCTAGCACCTTACATGTGTAAGGCATGTACTCAACCGAGCCAAATCCCCATCCCAGATGTTCCAGTATGAGTGACGTATATGATGATTTGGGTATATGTATTGCCCATACTTTCCTTGTTCTCTTCACTATGGAAAGTTGTGAAGTCTTCAGTAGTAGGCGAATGCACAATAAGTGATGGGCCCTTAGAGTTAGGCTGTGTCCCCACTATGACGGGAGATAGTACAGAGAAATAGTACAGTGGGTAGGGCATTTGCATTGCACATGGCTGACCCGGGCTCAATCCCCAGCATCCCACCTTGTCCCCTGAGCAGTGTCAAGAGTGAGTCCTGATTCCAGGAGTAACCCCTGAGCAATGCCAGCTGTGGGTTGTCTGTTTTTTTAAAATTCCCCTCGGAATTTTGGGTATCAGTTTCTTGCTGGAAAATGGCAATCAGGGTACTACTTTCTTTACATTGTCAAGTCGCAGGTGGGAGGTTAGATGAGCTGATGCAATCTAGAACGCAGGAAGGGTGATGAGAAGGTCTGCTGTTGGCGATGTGCTTGATTTCTCTACACGGCAGGTTCAACTCCATTGCAGATTTCTCTTTTTAATAAAAAAATCAAACTAAGGGGCTGGTGCAATAGGACAGCTGGTAGGGTGTTTGCCTTGCTCGCGGCCGACCAGAGATCAATCCTTGGTATCCCATATGGTCCCCTGAGCACCGCCAGGATTAATTCCTGAGTGCTTAGTCATGAGCATCTCTGCATGCGACCTAAAAAGAAAAAAATAAAATAAGAGGGGCCAGGGCAACAACACCGAGGGGAGGGCACTTGCCTTGCGTGCAGCCAACCCGGGTTCAATCTCTGGCACCCCATGGATCCCCCAAACACCACCAGGAGTAATCCGTGAGCTCAGAGCCAGGAGTAACACCCCTGAGCATCGCTGGGTGTGACCCCAAACCCCCAAATAAATAAATAAAAATGCTTGTTTAAAAGAAAGTTCCTAAATAAATAGAAGTTAAACCAAAACCTCTGGGACCCAGGGGGCAATCGGTGGCTGAAAGCGCCTGCCTGGCCAGCATAAGACCATGAGCTCAATCCTCCATGACTCCAACTCACCAGGGGAAACCACTGTCCTGGACAGTGGCAGTGCACCTAGAGTGGGTACTGCGGCCAGGAGTGCGGCCCCTGGCGGCCCCAGGCGAGCACTACAAGCAGAATATGTGCCTGTCCAGCAAATGAGTAAAACTCCTGGTGAGGTACCAGTGCACAGGTAAACTGTGCCACCCCTGAGCAAACAGCAATAAAGGGAGAGACGGGATGGAAAAAGAAAACACGGAGTGTGCCCTTGCCTGTGGTCATCGTTGACTGCAGTGCAGGGGACTAGAGATGAAACAAATGCCCTTCATAAAGACAGGCGGGAGGGACCAGAGCCATAGTACAGCGGCTAGGACATTTGCCTTGCATGAGGCTGGCCCAAGTTCAATCCCCAGCATCCCAGATGGTCCCCTGAGATCCGCCAGGAGTGATTCCTGAGTACAGAGCCAGGAGGAAGTGCTGAGCAGTGCCAGGTGTGGCCCCAAAACACAGTGCTCCCCACTCTCACTCATTGCTCGGCCCAAGCCGAGCTGGTTGCTGGCACCATTGAGGCTGAGAGCTGCGGAGTGAAAGGCTCTGCGTGCTTGCGGGGCGGGGCAGGGAGGAAGATTCCCCCACACCCTAGTTCAGAATGGTTGGCAATGCCTAGAGGTAACTGTGGTTGTCATCACAAAAGAGATGACATGGGCACTGAGTGGCCAGAGAACGGTGATGCCGTAAGCACCTGTCAGTGTACAGAGAGCCCCAACAAACAAGAATTCTCTGACCCTCAAATGTGCCTGAGAACCCCTGTTTGACGGAATGACAAAAGTGCCTGTCAGGATAAAAGAGGAGCGGGGACACGCCCAAGTCCTACTGCCATGGCTGCTCCCACAGTGCTCAGGACGATCTGGTGCTGGGGGTGGTGGGGTCTGGAGCTCCCGCATGTAAGCATGTGCACCAGCCC